GTGGCTCCTCCTTTGATTGCTTGTGTTGATGCTTCTAATGTATTTTTATTTTATTATTTTTTTAGACTCCTGTCTGCACAAAATGCAATAAAAAAGGATTTTATTACACCCTTCACACTAAGTGGGCAAGGCTCTTTTTTGTCCCCACTGAGAAAAATACCACCCCTGGAGCTGCTTGCTCCCTCAGCTGACCATCTGCCTCGTAGAAGGCAGGCACCCCGGAGCAGAAAGTTCCATGCCTGAGACCCACGGGGATAATGGTGGTGGCTGTGGCCGTGGTGAGCCTGTGGAACAAGGCACGGGGGCTTGTTCCGCGTCCCCCGCCTTCAAGGACTGCTCACTGCTCCGGACAATCGCACCCTCTCGCAGCCCCGACGACATCTAGGCAGGGCATTTGGTAACTCACACGCAAGGCAGTCCCGGCTCCCACAGAGCAGGTAGCTCTGAATCCGCACCTGGTGGACCCACCAGGGCCGACGGTGGTAGTGATGGATTGAGTGCACGGCAGGCTGTTGCCCACGGCCATGTGAGTGGGCTCAATCCTTCACAAGACATCTCTGTGTGGTGCAAGATTGCCCCCACACAAAGGCTCCTGTGAGAAAGCCAAGGGGAGAGCAGGCGGCACAAAGAGTTTTCAGAAGAGCCAAGCCTTAAAAGGGGAACATCAAGGGGAAGTAGGAAGGAGGGGCAGATCCCAGCGCAAGACGACACACAAGTAGCCAAAAGTTAGAGAGAGAAAATCAGGATGGCTAAAGCTGAGACTGCCAAGGCAGGTTCAAAGTAACAGGAATGGGATATATAGATAGAAGGACAAACAGCAAAGAAATGGAAGGAAAAATACAGGGAGGGGAGGCCCCCCCCCGCACTCGTGTGTGTCATCAGGGAGGTGGCCATGACCACCCCCGGGGTCCCTTCCGGCAGCTCGACAGTTCTGTGACTTCATGACTCGATGACAGGTGTTGCTGCCAAGCCTCGGCTTTGCTTTGTTCTTCTCCTGAAAGGGAAACGGGGCTCAGCTAGCGCACAAGGAGACACCACGAGAGGAGATGGCTGCTGGGGCCGGAGGGCTGGGGACGCGACTCTAAAGGCCTGCGGGCCTGCAAAGCCAGGGCAGCCGACTCTGCCTGACCAGCCCTGAAGGCTCTGGCAGAAAGCCCCCGAGGCGGCTCTGGGCCCACCTCGGGCCCGGATGGAAGACCACCTTGCAAGCTCCCCCAACAGAGGGGAAAAGCTGGAAAGTGTCTCCCTGCATCTTACTGTCATGAGGTATGACAACAGCCCATTGTTTTGAAAGATGCCAGGTGGGACCTGCCGTGAGAAGCTGCCAGTGCGGTGCCCTCTAAACCCCCACCCCCTGGTCTGCTTCTTCAGGGCCCACCAACACTCCAGAAGCCTTCTTTGGCCAGGGAGCAAGCTCAGCTTCCACTAGACACTGGGGGGAAGGGGGCAGACTGCCCTCTAGACTCAGGTTGTTTGCTCCCCATTAAAAACGACATGTCCCGCCACCAGCCTTCCGTTTCTCCCAAGCCTGCTGGCACCTCTCCTCCCCTGCATGGCTGGCGTGGTCTGTGCACACAGCGGCAGAGCAGGCAGAGAGCTGCTACTGCTTGAAGGGCCCCCCACCGGCAGGGGGCTGTTCCCGTCCACTCCCAATGCCCCAGTGACACCCTTGTCCTCTGTCCTTTGGAATAGCATTTCACTGCCTCCCCGAGCTCAGTTTAAAACTCTCCCAGGGGCAGGTGACAAGAAACCTGGTGAGGAGACAGCTTCCAGCCACACAAAGATCGCGGGGAGTTCAGAGGCTCACAGCGGAGGACGAGGTCATGTCCCTTTCGCTGCCGGGAGGACACCAAGCTCCTCTCTGCCACTGGCCAGGAGCAGGGAATAGGGCGCCCCTGGGCTCCCCAGGATGTCCACTGAGCTCTTTCACCGAGTTCCAGGGCCCAGCTGTGGCCAGCCTGTCCGCCCTACGTCTGCCTTTGCAAGCACCTCACCAACCACCTCTCTCTGTGCCTTTCAATGGCCAGAGGTGAGCAAGACCTGCACGTGCCTACGACCAATGGGGAGTCTCCCTAAAAAGGAAATGGGACCACGAAACTCTCTCCTTGCAGGCAGCACCCAGCGGCTTGCTCGTCATCTCACTGCTGCAGGCCATGGGAACTGACAAGGCTCAGTCCTGCCCCCTCAAACTCAGGGAGGAGGGCTATGAGGGGAAGATGCCACTCTCGCCTTCTTCATGCTTGCCCCACAATCTGGAATGAGGCAGAGCGGGGACTGCCGTAGTAGACTGGGCAGGAGAGGACAAGCACAACTCAAGTCAAGATGACCAGATGAGCAGTGCAAGCCCAGGGTGTGTGTGTGTGTGTGTGTGTGTGTTGCACAGTGGGCCACCTGCTCCTGAGGCACATGGCCTGGCAGGAGAGCACCTGCACTTTGGTGCCTGATTTGGCACAGGGCTGTCGTGGAGGTATCGTTCGAGAACAGCTACATGGTCTGGCATGAAGCAATCCAAGCGTGGACTTCTAGGGGCTCCAAGACCTTTTCCCCCACATGGTATTTTATATTATTATTTATTTATTTAATTTATATCCCGCCTATCTAGCTGGTTAAGACCACTCTAGGCGGCTTACAGAAAACATACAGCTATATAAAATCAATTCTATATAAAGAAAAAACTTTCAACAAATTAGGACAAAGAGTAGGGAGAGGAGAGGAAGGGGAGGCAAGGAATTAGCTGAGGGGAAGGCCTGCCGGAACATCAATGTTTTTAGTTGCTTTTTAAAAATACCCAGCAAGGGAGCCGCACGAATATCAGGAGGTACATTATTCCAGAGGCGAGGAGCCACCGCCAAGAAGGCCCGATTTCTTGTCTTTTCCTTCTGGGGCTCCCTCGGGGTTAGGCTCCTCAGCCTCCCCTCCTGGCTCGCACGAGTGACACGGGTAGATCTTGGTGGGAGTAGGCGTTCCACCAAGTATTGAGGGCCTAAGCCGTTTAGGGCTTTATACGTAAGCATCAACACTTTGAAGTCGATGCGGAAACAGATGGGCAGCCAATGCAATGCAGCCAGAGTAGGTGAGATATGTTGGTATTTTCCCACTCCGGTTAGGAGTCTGGCCGCCGCATTCTGCACCACCTGTAGTTTCCGCAGCAGCCTCAAAGGAAGCCCCACGTAGAGCGCATTGCAGTGGTCTAATCTTGAGATTACGAGCGCATGCACCAAGGTAGTGAGCACCCCCACATCGAGATGGGGCCGCAGCTGGGCTATCCGCCCAAGATGGTAAAAAGCGGTTCGGAGCACCGCTACCTGGGTTTCCATAGCGAGCGCCGGGTCCAGATGGATCCCCAAGCTGCGAACCCCGTCCTTGGCAGGGTCACCCCCGCAAAAGAGAGGGAGTTTCCCAAACCCCCAGCTGTGGGGGCGCCCACCCTCAGTACCTCCGTCTTGTCCGGGTTCAGCCTCAGCCCGTTCTCCTGCATCCATTGCAATATGGTCCCCAGGCAGCGCTGAAGGTAGCACTGGAAGACACGGAGTGACAACTGAATCGTGTTTTCCAACACTTTGCAAGCTATTTAAGAGACCATGTGTTTGAAAGGCCACCTTTAAGCACTCAGCCAGAGGTCTCCCATATTCCTCCTCCTCCAAGCCCTGAACCTGTCTGCAGTTGGGATCTATCTGAACCCATATGCCTCTGGACTCTACCAGGCAACAAATCCAAATAAATCTCTACCAGAATCCAGCCCTTTCTTCCCGAGAGCTCTCTCCCTTCCCAAGGAAATCCTGTGCTGGCAAGATACTCCTTATCTAGGAAGGTGATGACCACAGGCTGGCTCCCTAGACGGAGGCAGGTGCAAGTATCTCAAGGGCTCATGGTTGAAACGGGATCATTCCCCACCCCACCCCCAAATATGGAGTTGCCAAGAAAGCCAGAGGACCAGCTCATTGGGCCCTGGACCAGCCCCTCTGATTGGGGGCAGGAGGTGGGGAGGAACAGCAGCACTGCAAGACCTCAAACAGATCCCATTTTGACAGTCTGAGGAGACAATGAGGAGACCTCACAGGTAAACCACATGCTCTACTGCCACACAACAGGCCATCCCCAAATTCAAACCTTTCTTCTTGTGATCATAACACAAAGGAGAAGCTGGCAAAAGGTTTACCAGGAGGAAGGGCAAGCTGGGTGAAGTTCAGGGCCCTGAAACCAGCAAGGTCCAGGCCGACGTCTTTCAAACAGTGCACCTCCATCCTCTCTGCAGAAGAGGCCGAGGCAGAAGGACCCCCCCCCGGGGGGTGAGGCAGCCCCTGGCACGTCTCCCTGTGCATTGTTACGAAAGGGCCAGCATCTGTGTTAACTTACTTTCACCCTTCTGCTTCTGTCCTCTTTTTTCCATCCTATCCATTAGACTGTAAACCACTTGAGCGTGTTAGGGGGGAAAAGACAGTGCGTAAAAATAGCAAAATCAATAAAGTAATTTTGTATAGCAGAAGTTCACAGAAGACAGAATCAAAGATTTTGGATAAGGAAAGAAATTGTTAGCAGTCTAACTTGGTGGATGGTTTTTTTCTTAGAAACCTCTCATTTTAAAACCTAATTTTAAAGAACATTATGTAAGTATTTAAAATATTATGCACAGCCTTGCACACCTCAAGGTATGTTCTCTGTAGGCGGCGGCTGTTTTACCCCTCTACTATTTATTTCCAAAGATTTTGACCTTTCCCATCAAAGTGGAAAGCAAAAAGGTTGTGGTAAACTGTAACAGGCCAGGCGTGATCTGGATGGTCTAAACGTAGGTTCACAAACACCCTCATCTCAAAAGTTGTGACTTCTCCTCAGGCCAAGTTCAGAGGGGTGTCAGAAGAGCATGATGTTATGGTGACGGATGGACTCCCTAACAGGCATAGTCTTCTCTGATCCTCTAAGGTCCTGAAAACAGCTGAGGAAGCGCTGCACTCAACTTCACAAACATACAACGGTGTACAGATCTAATTTTTTAATTAAAAAGTTGTGTCCTCTTTTTAATAGTTCAGAGGTATCTACATGACAAAACCATTCAAGAACAGAACATTTACAGCTCCAGGAATGAGGCTCAGCAGCTGGCCCCAGGACAGCCACTGAGGAGGCCAAGGCAGCCTGCAAAGAAAGTGCCCTTGGATGTTCAAAACCAACGGGTACACTTGCACAGCATTCAACCCCAGGGCTGCCGCAGCACCCAACGGCTCGGCCCGGGTCAACACCAAGAACCTCCTGGGCAACCTTTCGAACGAGGACCAAGGGCATGGCAGAGCCGAGTGGGACCCACCTGCTGGCAGAAGCCATTCCTTAACAGATAAAGCAGCCCTGGATAAGGATCCTCTGACCTTTGGCAGAGGTCACATAACAAGAGATCTCAACCCACAACGGAAGCCCCGCAGGCGTCCATCCCTGCCAGCCCTGGGTCAGCATTCGATTTCTGAAGGTATAAGGTAAGATTGGCTCCTCTACCTGCACCTCAGCACTCCCCCCATACCTGGGGAGACCACTGGCAGCGCAGAACGGCTGTGAGGAAAGCAGGCGGAGGTGCTCTGGCAACAGGGTGGGGTGATGGGGCACAGACCCTCTGCAGACGTCTCCAGCCAGGGAAGAGATCCCTCCACTCCCGGGCCAGGCGAGGACAGGGTAGGGACATGCACCGTTAAGGGGACGGAGGAGAGAGGAGTGAGGGGAGCTGCGGGGGCCTTAGTAATGCCGCTGGTAAGAGCTCAGGGGCTGCTGGGCAGGAGGAGCCCGGGCTTGGCTGACCGTCTGGTTCACCAAATGGGTGAGGGCCGGGCCGCTCTGGATCAACGTGTCAAGGGCCTTCTGTACACTTGGATTGTCAAAGTTGATGCCAGAGGACGGAGCCGGCCTTGAGGCTGGAGCACCGCTGGGAGCAGGGGGCCGGTTCTGATACGGCGGCTGGGACGGCTGGGGAGCTGCGGCTCTTGGCCCAGCGCTACGGGCAGAACTGGGATGGTTTGGGAACTGGGGGCCCTGGCCTGGGGCCCGCGGCTGGGGCTGGGGCAACCCAGCGTTACTGAGCGGCCCGGCCCGGCCCTGGGCGCTGGACCCGGAGGCAAAGCCCTGGTTTGGAGAAGACCCCGCGGCTGTGCCGGCCACTGCAGCCACCGCGGCGGCAGCAGCTCCTGTGTTGAAGAGGCTGAGGATCTTGGCCTGCAGCTCCTGCTGTGGATTGGAGGCCGCGGCGGTCGATGCCTGCGCCGGCGGCAGAGGCTGGCTGCTCGGGTGCGTCTGGGAGCTTGGCAGGCTGGACAGAGAGGAGCCAGAAGGTGCACCCAGGGCTTGCCTGGGATGAGACACTGCAGGAAGAGAGAAAGAAAGCTGGGTCACGTCCTCCACCACCTACCTCCGCTGCAGAGCTAGCCTGCAAACATCAGGCAACCCTCCCCCCCCATTAATTTTCCTGGGAACAGAAATGTGGGAGGCATCTAGGCAGGGAAAAGCCCCCCCCCGCCCCCTGGGTCCCACCTTCCCGACTGGGCCGAGCACTCACCGGGGAGGGCTTCCCCACTGCCTCGCAATTGCCGTTCTTTGCGCTCCCTCAGGTAGTTGATGATCTTGTCCGTCTCTTCTGCAGTCAAGTAGCGATTGTCTGCCAGTAGGTTCAGGAGAGCCTGGATGCCTGGAGGGTGGCCCCCACGGGAGCCCTCCTCGGCCGGCGGGGGGCGCTCTCTCTCCTGCAAAATGGTTTCGTCCGCCATCTTGGCCGCCTGCCTGGCAATTTCCTCCCGCTCCTTCTCCCGCACCTCCATCTTGAGGCGCTCGTAGTTCTTCGCCACCAGCACCATGGCATCAGCCTGTGGCATGTTTCGGTGCTCTGTGGGCAGAAAAGAGGGCCTGACTGGCATGGGTCCATGTGGGCAGCTGCCTGATCTACACAGGACGTCCCAAACAGGAGGGAAAGCAGGGCCAGGCGCACCAGAAAGCTAAAGCCTTGCCAGTTCAAAGCCTCCCTGGTGCTCTGGAGGACTCCGGGCACCTGCACAACCCGAACGAAGGCTGTGCAAGGCTGCAGGAGAACCTCACTCAGCAGAAGCCCAGCCGGACACACAACGCTCTTTGCCACAGAGTGAGACACACACATACACCGGTCTGAGCTCTTCAAGCAGGGACTCATCTTCGTCTCAAAACTCCTAGAGAGGCCACCAACCCAGACGGGGACACACAAACACACACACAAAAGCTTTCTGATCCTGCCAAGCAAAGGGACACCTCTGCGTTCTACTCCCAGGCTTTCAGCCTCTCTCAAGGATTAAGGAAACATTTAGGTATCCTCACAAAGAACAAAGTGGTGCCTGATCCTGTTCCAGTTCCTTCTCTTCCCCATCGCTTCTTCTTTCTGTACCTGACCATCAAACTGAAAATCTTTGGGAAGGCATCACATTATTTTCTTAGCCGTGCGCAGCATCCTGAAGAATTCAAGCACTTTGTCAAGCCCAGTGATATTTCTTGCAGGCACTATGTCTCTGGATACACCCCCTGCACACACCCCCAGTGCTCCAACCGGAGAGTCAAAGGTTCAGCAGCTCAAATAAATAAACCCACTTCAACCTGATCCATGGGGACTAATCTGGGGTAAGAAAGCTGATCCAGTGGCCTTCCTCCTGAGGTGTTGATGGGAGGAGAGACAAAGACTAGGGGCCTTAAGTATGGAGCCGCCCTCGATTGTACACGGAAGCTCATATTCTCGGGACAAATGACATCTCCTTTTCACCTACTTCAGTGGATGCCGTCTTGTCCCTTCAGCGCTGCCTGGAGACTGTACTGCAATGGATGCAGTTGAATGGGTTAAGGCTGAACCCGGACAAGACGAGGTTCTGAGGGTGGGTCCATTAGCGGTTTGGGTGACTCCCTTTCTTTGGACAACTCTCACCGCAAAGAGCGAGGCTCGCAACTTGGGGATACATCTGGACCCAGCGCTTACCATGGAAAGCTAGGTGGCGTCCGTGGCCCGCTCCACCTATTTTCATCTATGGCGGATTGCCCAGCTGCAACCATATCTTGATGGGGGGGCCCTCACTACTCTTGTCCATGCGCTCGTAATCTCGAGATCAGACCATTGTAACACGCTCTACGTGGGGCTGTCTTTGAGGTTGATGCGGAAACTTCAAATGGTGCAGAATGCGGCAGCCAGGCTTCTTAGTGGGGTGAGGAAATGTCAGCATATCTCCCCCACTTTGGCTGCTTTGCATTGGCTGCCCATTCGTTTCCGCATTGACTTCAATGAGCTAATGATAATGTATAAAGCCCTAAACAGTTTGGGACCTCGATACTTGGCAGATCGTCTTCTCCCACCAAGGTCTACCCGAATCACCCAGCATAGCCAGCAAGGATGGCTGAGGGGCCTAATGCCAAGAGAGGCCCGGAAAGAAAGAACAAGAAACTGGGACTTCTCGGCAGTGGCCCCTTGGCTCTGGAACAGCCTCACAACAGAAATTCGTCTGGCACCCTCGATGGGTCTTTTTAAAAGCCATTTAAACTTGGCTATGTAGGCAGGCCTTCCCTCCAGTCAATTAACTGATCTTTAGTCTTTTTCTTTTAAAACTATTTCATCTTAGCTATGATTTAAATTAAGTGTCAAATTATGATGTTTTAAATGATTTTATGATATTTGTTATATTGCAATGTTTTTATTATGTGTGTAAGCCGCCCCGAGTACTTTATCTAGGGGGGTGGGGTAAAAATCTAATAAAAGTTAAAAAGTTAAAAAAAAGATAGGGAAGAAACATAACCTAGCCGCCTAGAGTGGTCTAATAGACCAGATGGGCGGGGTATAAATCAATCAATCAATCAATCAATCAATCAATCAATCAATCAATCAATCAATCAATCAATCAAACAAACAAACGTTAACAGACGCCACCCTCCAACGCCCCGACGTGATTTGCTCCTGGGCCCCCTTCTGACCGGGGTCAGCCTGGGAGAGAAGCTCCCACCCAGACCCTCACTGCTCATAGCTAAACATACTCCAATCAACGGCGCCATCTGGCTCCCTCAAAGAAACAGATCCTGCAGTCCACAGAATGACCCACATACCTTGTGGGGTGCCAAACATGATGTTGACTGTGCAGGAGTGGTGAACCTGGTGCTGCGGGGTGATGACAATGGCAAAGGCAGAGCCCCCTTGGCTCACATCATCCAGGGCTTGCTGCAAAGACATCTCTGAATTGAGGAAGATGAGGTCCACCATCATGCCAAGATCACGGACCTTCCGCCCCACCGACTCTGCGTACTCCCTGCACGAGAAACAGCCTGGCTGAGGAAGACTACGGGACCCTCCAAAACGGTTGTTGCTGAAAGCAAGGGGCAGGCTAAGTGGGAGGCAACACCCCATGCCCTTTCCCTATAGACCTCAGCTGGGAACTAAGAGGCTACCATTGACTCCACTCCTTGGAACATGTTGTTTGCAGGCAATGAGAGACAGATCCACTGCTCTGGAACACAGCAGAATGTATGACTGCTAACCTCACCACAGTTTTGTATGTACATGGGTGACAAGTAACCTTGACTACTTACTAGGTGAGGGAGTCACTCTGGAAAACCTTTGCCTACTTTTGAGATGGCTAAGTGATTTCCTAACACCAAAAGCAATAAAAGTAACTTCTTGATATCAAGAAACTCATTAGAGACAAACAACAAGCAGGGATGAACTTGCTTTTTTTTAAAAAAAAAGCAAAAGAGAGTCCCCAGTGATGAGTTTTAGCTTCAGCCCCCACTTTCTCCCCACCCCCTCCTCCCTTTGGCCTTTACTCCCTGGTGCCACCTGGACCCTGATCCTCTGAACCTCTTCCTGCCCAGGCTCTGAGCCACCCGCTCTCTGCTAAGAGAAGGTACTGCAGGCTCCTCCAGCCAGGCCAGCAACATCAACAGCAACATCAACGGGGAGAAGCATGGGGCCCTATGGCTGTTCCAAAGCACATGCCGCCGCCACCAGCCAACCAAATGCCCGGCTCGCCCTTACTTGGTCTGCTTGTTGACCACAATCACTGAACAGTCCACAGGCCGCTCTGCATCAATGCGCCTCTTGATGTCCTCAAAATACTGGCGGTAAAGCTCTTCCCGACGCCGCTCCTCACGCTTCATACGTTCTGGGGGTGGGGGATTGAGCAGAGAAAGCCTTCAGAATTGAAGCCAGGTGTCTCTCCCGTGTCCCCCTTTCTCTTGGCCTCACCTTCCCAGCCTGTGCCCAATGGGCCAGCCACTGACCTTCAGAACTCAAGGGGGGTCTGTCCATGTGATCTCGGTAACGATCGTAATACGGCTCTTCCCTTCTCCGGTAACCGTCTTCAGGGCGTGTGTAGCGGTCATAGCCCTCTTCTCTCCTGCAGACCAGACACAGCAGACAGCCTTGCGCTGGCACACATGGAGCACAGCACCACGCTCCCTGCCTCTCCCTCCCTCCCTCCCTCGATGTGGAGAAGTTCTAGCGCACTCTCCCTCCACCACTTCCTACCTGTAGGTGGGGTCCCGAGCATCCCTATAGCGGTCGTAGAGTGGGTCCCGGGGATCCTTCGCATCTCTATGGTCCCTGAAGTCTCTGGGGTCTCTTTGCTCCCTGGGCCCACGGGCATCTCTCACACGGAGGTCCCTGGAATCCCGGCCGTTCCTGCCATCTCTCCGCGGACTGCCATGGTTTGGAGAGCGGTCACGCCTTGCCTCCCTCTCTCCATAAGGCAAGGGCTCCCTGCAAGGACCAAGAAAAGTCCTTGAGACATGCGCTACTTGAGGGCCAGCCCAACATGGGTAACCAATGCCCTCTTCCCAAGGACAAAGATCTTGAGCCAATCTAGGACCACCCGAGAGATGACGAGATCCCTGTGCATCACGTTCAAGGGCCAGGAACGCCTGGAGCTCTGAAGGTTTTGGATCGAAAATCCCAGAAGCCCCAGGAGGCTCCCTGGCCAAAGACAAAGGACTGCCAGAGGTGTCGCACAAAGTACCAGGAGGGCCAAAGGCTTCTCCATCTAGACCTCCTGTTGCGTCTCAGGTGGCCTCACTGGTTTTCACCCTAGGGAGAAAAAGACTGGCCTAAAAAGCTTTCTTCCCAAGGGCTGGCTTTTTACCTGGCAAGGAAGAAGCATTTAGCTATGGGGAATCACCCACCCACAGGACACATCTCACCTCATGGAAGGCCAGGACCCCCCTGGATGGCCCACAAAGCAGACCATCACTCAAACCCACCCTTCTTTTTGTGCAGTTTTTTTTGGGGGGGGGGGTGTAGCAGCTTTTTCACAATAAAGGGATCCACAAAATCATACAAGAGCTGAGAACCTGTCAGAAAGGGATCGTGCCACATGCTCACTAAGAGGCAGGCATCTCCCAGCCCATTAAGCATGCCTAGTCCTATGCCTGAGGAACAATCGTCTCAAGAACGTGAACGGATGGCTTGAGGAAGGACGGCCTTCCAGGGCTCCACACACAGCAGGGCGGATAGGACTGAAACTCTCCCTCTTGAAACATGAGCCTCTTCTTTCACTGGCACATAACCACTCCTGTAACCTGGAAAACAGCAAACCTCCTGGAGGAAGGGCTGTGGGTCCCGTGGAGATCCGCCCACTTCCTCCTTCCAGAAGGCCCAGAAATGTGAACGGAAGAAGCTAGTCCTCCTTTGACCACGAAGCAGATCCCATACACAACGCGATCAAGACCAAGAACGATGTCTCCGCTACTCTGATAGTGCTGGAAGCTTCTTTTTATTTGCTAACCCTAACCCTCTCCCCAGGCTCAGCGTACAAAATCACCCATTTGAGTTCGCTTTGGGCATCTTACAAATGAAGTCCAAAACAGATTTCACCAGTTCAACAGAACTGCACGCTTGAAAGATGAATCGGTAAGAGCTATACCGGTAAGAACGCACTAAGAGTTGGAAGAAATGCCTAACATTGGCCAGATGAGCAATCCAAGAAATCTGGGAAAACAGGAGCATGGGGCAAGAACATGGCCCTCCCCCACCTGGCAACTGTTCTTGACGGAAGACTGGCCAGCTGAACTCACTCAGGCCCAGGCACACCAGCGTAGGCTTCCAGGGAGCAGCTCAGCGAATGTGTTGACCAGACCCCACCCTCAATTCTCCCCCTCCCCCCATTTGCACTCTGGCCGCCGGCAGACAAGGCAAAGCAATGCCCGAGCACCCGCACGCGCTCTGCCCAGGGCAAGGCAATGCCCTGGCGCTCGCATGCGCTCTAGCCACCGTCATCAGGAGTGATGTCCGGGCATCCGCTTGCGCTCTGGCCTCTGGCACCCCTGGTGAGGCCCCAGATCCTCTTGGAACGGGCAGCAGGTGCGATCCAAGCTTTGTGTGGAGCTCTGGACCAAGGCCCACAGGAGCGCCTGTGTGTGTGATGAGCTCAGACATGCTGATGCCGCGTCCGAGGAGAGGCGGGTCCTCTCCCAAGGTAGAAGTCTGCCCCAGTCTTCTGGGGAAAGAATAGGCGCTTGCCTGAGGGAGAGCAGAGCGCTCCCTTGCAGCTTCAGCCGTGGGCGCAACCAGGGTTGCTTCCCTCCTCTCCGGCACAAAGACGAAAGACGCTCTTGACTCCCAGGCATTCCCAAGGGATGCTCCAGAGTCAGACAGGCAGCGGCACTCATGCGTGCAGACGGCTGGAGGAGCCCCGGAGCGAGCAAGTCGAGGCCACGTTCTGCCAGGGAGGCGGCGGCTGCCGCTGCTGCCAAGCAGGACCAAGAAGTCCCCTTGGGACTCCCTTCCAAGGCACCACCGACAGAAGCAGGCACCTTCTTTGCCGTCTCTTAGGAGAACCTGTAGCTTGATGGTACTTTACCTTCGTCCTGGGCTGGACCTTGCGGGAGCCTTATTCATATTTCTTCTTTCCGCTGCTTTATTAATATCTGAAAAGAATAATCAACCCGTCTGTTCAATGCTACGAAACAAAGAAAAGATCATCAATATACTGAAAAGAAAGTAGCAAGGTTCAAAGTCCACCAGATGGAGCAAGGAATTCAGTGAGGCACCGTCGCTTTGACAACCTTTATTGCATCAATAATACAGTACAAACCGTTCGCAGAACAATTCCTTCAAGAAAACTCCAGGAAGCAAGGGCTTTTTTCTCATGTTGCCCCTGAGAAAAGAGATGCTTTCTCCTGGATTCTAAAGATAGGTAAAGGCAAGGCAAAATTGGAGAGAGACAATACAATATGTAATTGTATTTTATTTTATTGTGTTTTATTTTTTATTTTTTCTGTGTGGGAGTAGGTTTATGTTATGAAATTCATTTTAGTAAAATATATATATATATATATATATTTTAAAAGACAGACCTGGCCCTTGTGCCGTCACCCAGCACCCAACTCATATGCATTCTGGAGGGATGACTTGACCCAGAACTGTGCTGGATATAACTGGTTGCCTCCTAGAACTGTGCTGAAAACTCACTCTCTCTCTCTCTCTCTCTGATGACAAGGCACACCTCGAACAAAACAATTAAATGGGGGAGGGGGGAATAAACACATGAACCAAAGAACCGTTCAGGGGGAGGGGGGTAAGGTGGGAAAGAAAAGCACTCCCTTCTCCCAGAAGACACCTGCCAATACATAAATGAAAGGCAACTCATCACCTACAGAGGTTTTTTAAAAAATGACTCGTTGGGAGCACCCATTCAGTGAAGGAGCCCTGGAGAGAAACAGGGTGCAGGAGTGTTACAAAGGGGAAGGGGCCTTCTTCCAGACCTTGGCCATCATCCTACCCATCTGGCTCCAGGGTTTGGCTCCCAGACACAGGCTTTGGTCATACAGTGAAAGAAGCCACAGCAAAACCAGCAGCCTCGCCCATCAGGCAGACAGAACTCAGGCCAAGGGGAGACTCCCAACAGTTGGTGGTATGTTTTCAAAGTGAGCAGTGAAGGCAAGAGAGATAAAATGAGGCATAAAGAACCAAAATGCAAAGCCAGACGACAAGAGGGAGCCTGTCTGCTCTGCATGGCAACTTTCTGGTACATTTATTCCCACCTGGAAACCATCCAGGGAGCCCCCGTTTCTGAGCTATCCAGACATTTCAGGGACCACCTGTTTGCACCCTCCTGTGTAGGAAGGGGAGGCACAGCCCACCCGGGGCCTTGAGGCTGCCGTGCTCACCGCTGGCTATGCTAGGTAGGGCCAAGGGTGGGGGCTGCAACCCAACCACATCTTGCCCACCCCCAGCCGACATGGCATGCTAGAGGGGCTGAACCTGCAACACCCTCTGGACTTGTCCAAAATAAGCTCCTCCCTTGAGGCTCCGCTCTTCTGCCACAACAAGGACAGACGATGCTTCACAGGATCCTCAACCATTTGTAACTGTTCTATTCAAACATCCACAAGCTGCCATCACTGTAAACATAGACCTTAACGTGGAACAAAGTCTTTGGAAGCCTGGCCATTTCAAATGGAGGAACTGTGACACTCTGGCAGTTCCAAACCGAATAGGCCACAAACGACATCTGAGGGGCTGGGACTCCAGGGTTCCTGCAGCACAAGGAACCCAACGGCCCCGAGAAGACCAGCTCTCATCTTTTCTAGTGGGGAGGATGGAAGAAAGTGGTTCAGGTACCTCAAAAGTGCTACCACGTGTCTCTTGCCTTTTCTTTCCCACCCTAAACACACTAGAGCAGATCATAAAGCAGTCACTCTCCAAGCACCTTGAACACAATGCAGTAATAACTAGAAGCTAACATAGGTTTGTCAAGAGCAAATCCTGCCAAACTAATCTGATCTCATTTTTTGATCAGATAACCTCCCTGACAGACAGAGAAAATGCTGTAGATGTAGCATATCTTGATTTCAGCAAAGCATTTGACAAAAGTGGCCCATGATATTCTGATAAGCAAGCTAGCCAGCTGTGGGCTGGATAGAACAAGTGTCAGGTGGATTCACAGTTGGTTAGGGAATTGTACTCGGAGAGTGCTTATCAATGGCTCCTTCTCAAACTGCGAGGAGCTAACAACTTATCTACTTAGCGGATGACACCAAATTGGCTGGAATAACTAATACCTTGGAAGACAGGGACAACATTCAAAAAGATCTTGATAACCTTGTGCACTGGACCAAAAACAACAGAATGACATTTAAGAGATAAGTGTAAAGTTCTATACCTAGGAAAAAAAGAAACCAAATACACAGATAGAAAATGGGGAGCACCTTTATCGCCAGTATTATTTACATTGATAATAGAATTAATGGCATAGATAATAAGAGATGATAAACAGATTATAGGGATTGAACATAAAAAGAATGGAAAGATAAACTTGTTTGCTGATGAATGATACATTATGAATAGTTTAAAAATCCAATAGGAACAACAGAGAGGCTTAAATCACATTTGGAGGAATTCAAGGATATAACGGGATTAAAAGTAAATTGGGGAAGGCAGAATGTTTATTGTTAAACCACTCAGATGAGGAGAAAGGAAGAATGAAAACACTATTTGAAGGATGTGAGGGCCCCAAGCAGGAGGCCTATGTAGGAGTGCTGTAGCTCCCATCGCGGACCCAAAAAACCCAAACCTCTCCCCCTCCTTCACCACCCCGTCGCGAAGACAAGCAGGTGGACACTCGCGAGTTGGGGGAAATGCAGGAAGATAGGGGGCCAAAGGATGTGGGTATCGACACCAGTGACCTGATACAGACCTTGAAGGGGTTAACCTTGTCATCAGGGCCGGGGAAAGATTTGGCAGGAAAAGGGAAGGAGGAGGTACAGGCGGCAGCTGGGGATATAAAAGGAAAATGGGAGGAGATCCCAGGAGGTTGGGAATGGATCTGGCTATAGGATCCGTGGACCGGAAGATGGGAGCAGATGCGGGTGCCTCATGAGGAGGCTGAGAGACGGAGGAAACAAGGTTTGAAACCCCGTCCCTCATACTGGGGAGAAACAGAGGAAAAAGAATGGAGATGCAAGGTAATGCGCTCTACGTGGGGCTTCCTTTGAGGCCGCTGCGGAAACTACAGGTGGTGCAGAACGCGGCGGCCGGATTACTCAGTGGAGTGAAAAAATTCCAACATATTTCGCCCACTCTGGCCGCATTGCATTGGCTGCCCATCCGTTTCCGCATCAACTTCAAAGTGTTGATGCTCATGTATAAAGCCCTAAACTGTTTAGGGCCTCGTTATCTGGCGGAACGCCTACTCCCACCAAGATCTACCCGTGTCACTCGTGCGAGTCAGGAGGTGAGGCTGAGGAGCCTAACAC